TTATAATATTTCTCTTTTCCATATACATTTATAAGGTAATTTAGCCTTTCCAGGTTGTTTGTAATACAAAATATTGTATCGGTAATATCCCCCGGTACACCGTAAACTTAATTTGTAGCCCTTCGTAATAAAGAGCGTGTCTCGCAAATGCCATAAAGGCTGAACACATTACTTTTTACTCGTGCCGATAAAGGGCACTTCTCTTGGCATGCGCGCATATTTCTGCCCTAGCCACCGTGCCGCCCGCCCAAACGGAGCGCTGACCGGAAAATGCTAATTTTCGACTTACGAGTGGATTGGTCTTTTAGATATATTTGAGTGATTTTATAAGGGTCTAAATTTTTCTATAATTTTTTAACAGTATTTACTTCAGCAGCAATATATTTTAAGGACGAGTAACATAAGTTTTCCATTGCCGCAAACTCTCCTTACTAAATTAAGCTCGAAATATATTATTAAACTTATTTACTATTTATGCCCGACGATGTTTTTGAATGCTTTGCAGCGGCCGTGGCTTTGGTCATGGACACATGGTTTCATTGAAAATAAGTTAAGAATTAATTTCGGTTTCTGAACCTTTAAAAGTATTTTATCCATATTTAAATATAATGAACATTACGGCCCTGTGGGGCAAGTGATGAACGAACAAAATCTTTGGGATTTGAACCCAAGTGCTTAACGCAACACGTTTGAAGACGTATCTACGAAGGCGGGTAAACTATATTTATTCATTTATCAAGTACAATTAGCTACTTTTGAGTCAAACTAAGGTTCACCACGAAAATTGTTATCAAAACTAATACAACAATTATTACAGTAATTATAAAGAGTAATGATTTCTTATCATAATTATCATCCATGTAACATGGACACCTTCTACACTCATGCTAACCAACAGAATCTTGAAGTTTTCTTTTACCGGAGGACACACGACAAAACGTACAAATAAATATTTTTGTGCACACCGAGAATTTAACCCCCGACGTCATACACCATTAGACTAGACCTCTGCCACAAGACAAAGTCCTATCTCAACATAAGATATGGGGCTGATGTATTATAAAAGATGTTATATAAGAGCTGAACGCAATAACATGTAAGTAAACTCAAGGCCATTATTTGGTACCTTATTTACATTTCAAACATAAAATAACAATTACGCAAATAATGTTTTTTTTTAATGACGCTAACTTCATTATTTTGTTTGTCACAATCGGTTTTAACTAGCTTATAAATATTAATTTTAGTCGTCAAGGCGAACGAGACGTCGATAAAAAATGTTCTTCAATACGAAAACACTATTGTTAGATATGCTTGTGTTAATGCTAATCTATTCTTCACTATACAATATAAAGCAAAGTCGCCTTTTCTGTCCCTGTGTACGCTTAAATCTTCAAAATTACGCAACGGTTTTTGATGCGATTTTTAATAGAGTGATTCAAGAGGAAGGTTTTTATACAACATTCGCAATTTTTCTGTAGTGTATTTAGTATCAGCATTGCACCCGAGCGAAGCCGGGGCGGGTCTCTAGTAATGTTTCAAAGCCGAAGAGTTTGTTCGTTTAATCGCGCTAACCTGGTTCGAATTGAAAACCTTCTTGTGTCGGTTATACCATTTGTCGAGGAAGACTATAGACTATGATGTTATGACTTATAGCAGCAAGGTAACAGTGGAAAATGTGGATAAACCAGAAAACATATTCATCATTGAATTCATCTATTTTATCATCATTTATTCATCTTTCTGTTGCTCACGCTGTTAAAACTGTTTAAGAAACAAAAAAATGTGGGTTTAAAAATTATTTTCTTTAAATGATCTAAATTAAAAAAAATCCTCAACAATGTAAGTCTAACTTTAAAGAACCGTTTTTATTCTAATAAATTTTAATTGACAAACATTGTAAATTTGGTAGACGGTATAGTGGTTTGAGCATTGGACTGTAGATAAGTATGTTTTAGTAGTATGTTTAAATGTTACTTCGTTATTTAGAACATTTCTAACTATGAGGTGGCGTCCTCTCGTATTTGTATTGGGATTAAAACCCAAGTGTTTAACTTATCACGTCACTATCAAATCAAATCAAAAATCAAAGTATATAATATAAAAAATATGTAAAAAAAAATTAAAACGGTCATGGATGACGTCTAAAGCATTAGCAAAAATAAACGTGAATGAATACATTGCCTGGAAATCGTGCATAAATCTATATCTATACTAATATATAAAGCTGAAGCGTTTGTTTGTTAGTTTCTTTGAACGCGGTAATCACATGAGCTACGGGTTCGAATTGAAAAATTCGTGTTGGTTAGAGCATTTATCGAGGAAGACTATAAAAACATCGCCCTGTAACGAATACAAGCGAAGATACAGCGAGAAATGTGAAAAAAAATGTGAAAATTATTCATTATTATGTGTTTCCGAGGCGTAACCAAAAAATATGTATGAGAGTATGATTCTTCTTTCAATTATCTAAAAAAATGTCCACGAGGCTATACGTTTATATTTTAAGATTGACTTGCAAGAACGACGGAAAGGGAGGCGACCGACATCGTGGGTCATAACTTTAGTTGATAAAGAAGGTGATGCCCAAAATAACTACTCTACTCGGACGAAGTCGCTGACACAGCTAGTAAGAAATAGATTTAAGAAATAATTTATTTCAGTCATGTACTTTACATAATGGAGCAAAATCTATTTTTATGTATTTAATGAATTTAATCAACATTATAGTCAAAACATTTGCATGACATTACAATGCCTGTTATGTTAAAATTTAATTTAAGTAAAATAAAGAAATTGTGACGCGAGCGGGTCTCGAACCGCGCTGTTGGTCTTTCAATCGATAAATTATAAAATTTATCTTCTTCAATTTCAAATTAATATCATTGGACTTTAATTAATAGTTTAACTCAACCACCACAGATAAAATTCAAATTTAATATGTAGTTACCAAGTTGAATCACGTACAAATAAAGTTAAGATTGGTGACATATCCCAGCCATATCACATCTCAATAGGACGTGCTATGAGATGCGCGGTCGACCTGTTTTTGCTTTGGACCTTTGGAAAATCACAGACTGAAAGTGAAACGCGATGAAACTTCAAGACTTTTTCATATGTGGATGGATGGAAGTCTTAAAAAATTAATTAGTTAGGAACATGTTCTAGCCGGTGGGGATCGACCTTAGGGCCCGTTGATTATCATTAAACCAATGACCCGTCGAAAGCAAGACAGGACAGAAATGACACGCATTAAGTGAAAATAACCATTGTGTTTCCTTTAGTTTCACCAACTAGACATAAAAAGAAGAAAACATGACTTAACGCTATAAAATACTTTTTTAAAGCTCGCTATTGGCTGGGGCGCTTAAAAAGCTCGACGCCCATTTAGCGCCCCTACCCTCGCTTTTTATGGATCGCGAGTTTATTTATAAAGATATATAGGGGTTGTCATATGGAGTTTGAATATATAAACGCGTTTACGCGTGTAGTATCTACACATTTCAATAAAACACTTTTATCGGTTAAAAACACGAAATTTATTAACTCATTTACAATTTGTTTTAGTAGCATTTTCAGCCCCGTCCATAACCACGGCCGCTGCAAAGCATCAAAAATGACGGGCTAGTCAAATACATATAATAAAGTAAATAATTTTCGCGTTTTAAACCGTTAAAATGTTTCATTTCTCGGTTTATGAATTAAAAATGAGAGCAACTTAGTCAATCTTGTAAAGTTATTATCGTTAGTTTATAGATTGTGGTCTTAAATTCGACTACTTACGCTAATGTTATCAACGAGAGAGCTCCATAAAAGTAATAGTTAATAAACAATAATATAAATAGCATTAAGTGAACAATGAGCAAAACAATGTCGTTCGCTTCGTCCCCGTTTATAGTCGCTTAACACAAAACATCTAGATTTATAACAATAACGGCGCGCCCCGGCTCACTTATTTTTTATTATTAATATCGCATAAACAATAACTTAATAACTCGCTCCCCACCCACAGTGGCTCGCTCCGCATTGGTTCTGGTAAAAATAGGCTGTGGGGGTGCGAGAGGGACGCGTGTATCGCCGCATGCTTTTATCTCGCTCCCGCTAGAAAACTCGTCGCATCTATGTGGAATTCATTTATCGATGTTCGGGGCATAAAAATTGACAGATTTTTTTTCAGTTCATCCCGAGAAGTGGCTTCGATCACACGCTTTTCAGGCGCGGCGGCGTTAAGTTGTGTTAAAAAATTGACAATCTTTTACATCGTAACTTGTGCTCTAGTGACTATCTGTTATAAATTTATTAATGAAGACATTTGTTGTGTGTGTTTAAATTTACCTGAATATTAAGAGGAGAAAGGTAAGCGATCTACTTTGATTTAATTGTGCCGTTAAATTATAATATATGTACTAATTTTCATTTCTAAAAATATTTTAAATATGAAATTCGGGTTTAACTTTCAGTTTTACGTAGTTGAGCTTACAAATCAATATTATTACTCTTGGTTGTCAAATATATGTATATATATATCATTATAATATTACATATTATAATATAGATATCTATTCAAATAGCCACAGTGTTATAAACTAAGGTAATTTCCGCGACAAAACGTGATATAGCAATTTTCTATTTTTTATTATTGCAACTTAAGCAGAACATACAATCACTTACATTGTACATTTTGTACAAATAAGGTATTTTTAGTGCACTGCGGTACCACGTTGAAGTAGTGTTATCTAGGTTTCAACAAATTAATAGCTACTTACTGACTTATTATAGATTATAGTTAATTTATAACCCTGTTGCAATTGAATTATTTCGTTTTATAGTTAGTAATTTTAGTAGTTTTATAATGCTGATTAAGTTGAGTAACAATTACAAATACAATTTAGTTTTTCGTTGAATTTGACATTTTCTTTGCTTTTCTAGACATTTCAACTGCATAGTGCATTTCAAGTTTTATATCGTTATTAAATAAGCACTCGTGAATTGTTGTAGGTATGTTAAGTTGTGCTTCCCCCGCCGGCATGCCGCCAGCAACTCACGCGCATGGTGCATCCTGGGGTCTTCTACAACAGCCACCCATCATCGTAAGTACAGCGATATCTACATAATTAAGTACCTAATGTTTCTCTTCAAAATAGTTAGAGCAATCAACAAATGCTCTACATTGTTTTAAACGATTCTTTTCTAATTGCTATTTGTCAATTAATAACAAGTCGTTAAAGACTTCAAAGAAAGGCCGATGTCGTCGGATTGATGCGCGCGGCATTTTTTGGTTGACTTAATTAAGATGTCATTAGTTGTCAAGTGACCCGCATTATTTAATTACCTACAAAAATCGTTAAATAATATTATCGACCGCACAAACAAATATCGTGGCACTAAGCACTGGACACGTTTTGAGTTTTACTAAATTAGAATATCTTTTTAGAAAACGGAGCCAATGGACGAAGGAAGCTTCGCCAAGGACCAAACCAGTGGATTCTACTCTGAAGGTTTTCACAGCTCATCGCCATCGTCTTCGAGCAAGGATTCAAACGGACACTCGCCGAGAAGTGTGGGCAGCGGAGGAGAGCCGTCCTCCTTCTATGACAATACCAGTCTTAAAGCGAAAGCTAACCTTGGTATGCATTTAGATGCCTACCGTAACGGACTACCCTACAGCCTTTTAACCCCACCGGGATTCGAAAATAGACCAGCAGACGACCGTGGAACCTCACCCGGCTATGAAGCTTCATACTCCCCCAGAACTCTAGCCCCTCCCACACACGTCTCGACCCCGATCGCTCGTGCTGACGCAACGCCGCCGAAATCACCTCCAAGGACACCATCCTCGCCCGAACACGCCAGAAGAACTTTCGAGCACTTTCACGATTCCGGTTTCGACGGCGTCGGGCAGAACAAAAACGACGACGAAGGTCGCGAGGGTTCGGGATTCGAAGACGACTTCGACGACGAGCCCGGCCTTCGCGTCCCCGCCGTCAACTCCCATGGCAAAGTTAAAACATTCAAATGTAAGCAGTGCGAGTTCGTAGCCGTCACTAAGCTCAGTTTCTGGGAACACAGCAAAGAGCACATCAAACCCGAAAAAATGCTGACCTGTCGGAAGTGCCCCTTTGTCACTGAATACAAACACCACCTGGAATATCACATGCGGAATCACCTGGGTTCCAAACCGTTCCAGTGCTCGCAGTGCTCTTACTCCTGCGTGAACAAATCTATGTTGAATTCACATCTGAAATCGCACTCGAACGTATACCAATACAGATGCGCCGATTGCAACTACGCCACGAAGTATTGTCACTCTCTGAAACTGCATCTACGGAAGTACAAACATAACCCGGCGATGGTGCTAAATTTAGACGGAACACCCAACCCTCTCCCTATCATCGACGTCTACGGCACGCGCCGCGGACCTAAACAGAAACCATTGTCTAAAATGTTCGATCAAACTCCGTGCAACAACCAATCGCAGCCTCCTCCGCCGACTCATTCTCTATTCGGGAGCCATTTTCCCGTCAACCTACCGTACCTTCCGCCACTGCTACCTCCGTCTTTCCTCTTCCCGCCGAATAATAATTATGAACAGCGCACCTCTCCGAACTTGCCGGAACCAATGGAAAAGCGGCAACCTCTTTCACCACAGTCGATCCTGCAGCAGCGTCTGTCGTACTCCGAGAGGCCTTCGGAAGTGGACGCTCCTTCATCGCGGGTAAAATCGCCTGTCAGCTCACCGCAGACTCCGACGAATGCCAACGGTCAGTCCCAAGGCAACGACGCCTTGGACCTTACGAGCACGAAAACGAGTGAAGCCGGTTCTCCACCACCGGCGGAGCAGCACACTCCTTTGACCCCGACTACTGCTATGAAGAATAGGCGAAAGGGTCGCGCTTTCAAGTTGCAACCTGCGGCTTTGCGACTCCAGCACGAAGACAAAATGGAAGCGGATAATTCGGACGCTGAGTCCGAAGCGTCGAACGATGTCCCTTCGTCGTCCGTTCGGAGCGCGTATACCTGCCAGTATTGTGATATAACATTCGGCGATCTGACTATGCACACAATACACATGGGATTCCACGGGTACAATGATCCTTTTATGTGTAACAAGTGCGGCGAAAGAAGCGCCGATCGCGTGGCGTTCTTCATCCACCTCGGTCGCGCGCAGCACGCCTAGCTGGCTTCGAACGCGGTCACCCTAGTCAGTATGTCGGGAGCTTCTTTAAATAGGGAATCAGAATATGCTTCTACGTTAACCAAAGACGCCCTAATTAAATTTTTATATGTTTGGATTGGATTGCTTAGTTCGTAAGTTTCCTAGCTATAGTCGACGTAGATCGCCACAGATTATGTACGCATCTGACGAGTACATCGATACGAATGTAAATTATATGAATGTGACCAAAAATTCAAGACTGCGTCTCAGGATAAGTACAAATTGTAGTGTAACGTGGCTTTTCCTCAAAGCTTGTACAATATTACGATAAAACGGATTACGGTGATGTTACCTATTAGAATAGCATTAAAATAGACGAAGATCGGGTCTTTAATTGTATTTAATGTCGTGTAAGTGAACCAGAGTGTAACTATTTATAGAAGAGATTTATTTTTATTTATTTATTGTAGCGTATGTTTGTCGTATTGTTTCCTATCTGAATCTGATTTTTGAGAGCATGTTAGAATCGCAAACCTTATTGTCGACAGGCATTGTACCCTTTTGTATTTTGTAGATATAATATGTTAATTGTGTGCTGGAAACAATAAAGTAAAAATATGTATTATCTATTCTTTTATTTATATCGTTCTAAAAATAATTTGCCATATTCAATGAAATGAGTTGGCAATTATAATAATAATTTGCGGCATTTAGTTTAATTACAACTGGTTACAAATGGAAAAGACCGCATACAATTAACCTACATAAATTTAAGTACAGTGAAATAAAAGAACTAAAATGTTTTACGTTAACAATATCTCGCTAATCCGATTTAGACCTACTTTAGATAGACGACGGTAGCGCAAAATCGCCAGAGCTCGTTTAAAATAAAATGCATTGTCTCAGTGTACATTGTTATGAAGTCTATTTTTTTAAGAACAATACAAATTTATGTCACCGTTACGGGTAAAAACTGGCGATGAATATTCATGAGGTCTCTCTGAATCGTCTTCCGATGCCTCCGACGTAACGAGAATACTAAAAAATTAGTATTGTGTTCGAACTGTTTTCTCGCCGTGGCCATTTGAATAAAATGTAAAGTTGACAAAAAGCAAAGTTCATATGCCAAAAGTATTACGACATAACAAAACTCGTAAATTAAATAGTGTCTGTAGTTAACATTTAAATAAAACATTTTACCGGTCAAAACGCGATCTATATAAGTTAAACTTATTTGAAAATTTATTTTAACTACGGCCCGACGTTTCGGATGCTTTGACTGCTTTATTTAAATGCTGTAGTATTACGCATATCTTACTGCTAAAAAAAGACCATAGATTATAAACTTACAATTAAACAATAAAAGAACTAAATAATTTTGCTCTATTGGTAACTACGTCACAGTTGTGTCTATTGATTGCTAACATTATGATAATCAAGCGTCTGTACATAGAACACTTATGATCAATGAGTGGAGGCATACTTTGCGATCTCTCAGAGGATTTTTCACACTTCTGTTGACACCAATCGTCCAAATTTTAAGTCTCTCATTAATTGATGCGTATGATTCATAAGCTAATTACTTTGGCAACACTTACATCGTAAATAATTCCTTTATTCCCTCTCTAATATAATCCCAAGAAGCGGGATCGCTGAGGTGGTTATTAAAATGGAATATTGATGATTCTAATAAATTTATGCAAATATTAATTAAGCAGTGTTTTGTTGACGAAAGTTCTTTGTATGGTTGAAAAAATATTATGGTTTTATTATTGACTTCAATACGGTTGTCGGATTTAGATCTAAAGAGGAGTTTCAAGACGAGAAGGTATTAAGTACTACAATTTAAACGTGCACAACTAGATACTTTTGGATATAGGTTAAAGATTGTTAGTCGAAAGTGAAAAATTTACATCATAAAACTTAGAATTAATCTGACCTATCAGTTTTTAACAAAATTAAGTTAAATAAGACCTTATTTAGTTTATTGATTTTATACCCCCTATATCACTATTTTTAACGGAAATAGAATTTATCTATTACTGTCGACAAGAAAGTACACATTTTGTACCATTTATACTCGATTGAGCTAAGTGAATAAAATCTAATAGAAAAATTTAATGTTGTAAGAGATTTTAAAATGTGCTTAGTGTTTCTTATTAACGTGTTTTTTTGAATCAACAAAATAAAGATTAAGAAAAACGTCTCACTTGTTTCTCTTAATCTGTCTTTTGTGGAACCATGATCATGAGATCTTGAGTCGGATTCAAACTCAGTACCCACGCGGTTAGTGCAGTTCAAGGCATCGCTTTACCAACTACGCCCACCAGGTCAATGTTATAAATAGTCAGTAGAATGTGTACTTTAAAATACTCAAATATAATGAACGAATTATTTAGTGAATAATTTATGTACTCTTCGGACGTCAAACGCTGCTTAGAAATTTACGCGGTATACTTTTATTGCTTAATAAATAAGAATTTATAATTTCTTTCCTAATTGAGTCGTTTAAATAATTAAAAAAATATGGTAAGAAGCATTTTATGGCTGAAATTTTAATTTTTATAATATAAAAATAACTTTTTTACTATTTTGAAAACGTTTAATTTTAATTGGTCCATTATGCTCGGTTCGTTAATTTCTAGTGCCTTTTTTCGGTAAACACCTCCGTGCTATATGAGGTTCGTTTTTGTTCAGCCTACGCAAACACGGCTCGACATACACAGGAACAGAGAGCAACATTTTCTTGCACGAGAATACTAACATTTTAATTGACTAACACAAACGTTCAGATATTTACGCGGTCTATAAATACTAGCCACTAGTTTTTGTTAAACTGAAATCAATGCGTAAAAAATAATCCGCGTTATGATATATCAAAAAATGGCGCCATTGTAAATCGAAATTGGCTCTTAAATAGCCCCTAATTTGTAATTTTTCACACACACCCACAAATCGATATCGCACTAAAAAGTGAAAACCATTAATCACTTCGCCAAAGAAAAATGTGTTTTTAAGGAATTCAGCTAAATGTTTGAAGTGTGCGACGTGGTCAAATTTAAAATTTATATGTTAATACTAGGTTTGTAGGACTAAAGAGGCTGACATGATCAGTATATCCATGTCCAAAAATAGGTCTTGTTTATATATTATATGGCTGGGAAATTTCAACTTCCATCAAATGAACCCTGTCATAAAAAAGGGGTTATCCTTATCTTCAGAGCGTTCTCTCTTATTCACATAACACGCACTTTTCAAAGCCTAAAGTAGCTGAGCGTCATACAATCAAAACTTTAAGTGCGTACAGACTTTGTAAATGTAACTTGGCGTTAAAAGGCATGGCGGCAAATCTCCTTTTTCACATGTTGTTGCATACGATGGCATTATATAAATTGAAAATCTATTTAGGATACGGGCGAGATCTGAACCGGCTTCCACGGCGTTCCTAGCGGCTCGAACGTCATTTTTATTTCAAACTAAATAGATTCTTTTGTTTTTCTCATTGTCATTCTTTTGACGACCTTGATTTAAGAAATGGTAGAAATTGATTTCCTTTGATTTCGTTTAGAATAGTAGATCTTCGTGTAATTTCAGATAGAAGTCCCTCAATATGTGAACGTTAAAGATCACTTTTGCAGAACGCCGATTATGGGCGGTAAACCTGTGCAACTCCAATTCCCTACAACAATAGCATATGGTCCGTTGACCACGTTCCGCTCCCGTTTCAAAGTAAAAAGTTAAATTGCAAAGTAAAACGGTAAGAGGCGTTTCGGAGGCGGCACGCTCCGACCTCAAATGTGCGGATTTTTTCCCTTCACATGTTAGAATTTTTTCCTTGATCTTTTTCAATGACAGCTGCGCGATGACCACTCGGTGCGTTTAGGCTTTTTTTGGGAACGGTTATGCGATACCATGATTGAAGAGTTCTTAAGATGCTGGAACAGCTGGTTAGCTGAACCGAAGGCTAAGCGATAATAAAAATTTTTACTATTACATTATTTTTATAAATAATACAATTACATATATTAATAATAACACGATTTATTTTACTGACCCGACAATGTGATCACTACGGCTGAAAAATAAATCTCGTTTTTACTGGTTCAAAATGAGATTAATGAATAGATAATTGAGTCTGTGTTAGTTTTGAGAGCCATCGTGCCTGAATCGGCGTGGTGATCCCGGGTTTGAATCTCAGTAAAACAATAATCGTTTCAGTCTAGCAGGACACAGAATTAAATTAACTGTGTATATACATCTAATTTTTTCAATTCATAATAGATTTTTAATTTATATAGTAGGTACCAACATGATCATTAACATGTGAAAAATATAAAAGTTTAACTGTGTAAAATACTTAGTAATTTAGGAAAATAGATATTTATAAACAAAAAAAAAACCTATTTAGATTGAAGGAGTAAATCGCTGTATATATGTTTGTAATGCAATTCCAAGTACATACCTATCGCTCGTATTAAAAAAAGCTGTCATCCCATTATATCAAGAACGTGTCACGCACCTATATCTAAATAATTTGCATCGAGCTTATCAGATGCACAAAATATTTTGATAAAAAGCGCTTAGCGCGGCAAAAAAGTGCGTCCTTAATCCCTTATATAAATGGGGACCACTAAATGAAATTCCGTCTTCTAGGAAGCTTAGAAGGCGACACTTGTTTAATCTGCGATCAGGCGTGGATTCGGGACTCGGAGGCATTATTTTGGGGACACGTGTTTAGGTTTGGCTTTTTTGTCACTATTGATTGTTTTTTACTGAACAGAAAACTTATTTATTAGTGCCAGCAGGTGTTTAACATGGAGAGAGTATGGCGTATCTATTGTAATTGTAAATGAGAAATTATGTTAATATTAAATCGATTAATAGGCTTTCGTAGCTTTAAATATATTACAACGCCACCATTAGAACATAGCCCCTACGTTTCTGTGTTCTGCCCGACCGAATTCGTCTTTCATGCTTAACGCAATCTTAGGTAACGCGTTGCCATTGAGATACAAGGATCG